GCAATGGTCTTAAACGCTCAAGGCAATGTTCCTTGAGTTTTGAACAATGTCTTAGAAAGCTTGAGTTATGGGAAGAGGTGGGGAGCAGCCACCATAACACCAAGATATGTAGGAGTCAGTTCTTGCAATAGTTTGTCCACCTTACCTTGAATGTAAGGTAATCTACGAGATTTGGAAATATGCTTAGTTTTGATTGGGTTGATTATGAGACCAAGGGAGGACACTTTTGCTGAACCTCTGTAGAACGTTAATCCCACCTATCAAACACCTGAATAAGAAGTCATCAGCATAGGATGTGATGATGCATAGGTTGCCTAAACTCAGCATTGAGCTTGCAAAGAGAGTGCATAAGTATATTAAATAGTGTGGGGACAACACTCCCCCTTGTGGAGTGCCTAATTCCAATTCGCCATAAGCACTATAGATGCCTTGATACCACAACTTTTTGCTTCTTCTCAAGATAATCTTTTATCCATAGCAGAAGCTTGCCCTTAACTCCTAAAAGAGTAGTTACATAGAGGTTGCAGTAGGGGAGGCTCTGTCGAATGCTCCCTTAAAGTTATGAAGTAAGAAGACTGTGCATTAGTCCATTTAGGTACTGTGCTAGATTTTTGCCACATTTGTGTTCCTCTCCCTTTTGGAAAGCAAAGAACAGAGGAATGGATCATGTCTTTGATAGGATGGAATAAACGACGTGAGGAGAAGTCTTTCACAGGTTTTTGACAGGCAGAACGTCAGAGAATTGTTCTCTATTCATTCAGGCCGTCCTGGTTTTGGATTGAATGATGGTGCCTGTTTCCAAGAGGTAGGCAGATGCCTGTCATGTAGGTTAAGTTGAAGAGATTAAGAAGAGGATTTCTTCCCTTTACCTGTACTTTTGCAAGAGGCTCGAGGATTCATAAGGATTCATCATCCCCAGGTGCGGTGGATTGCTAGTCTTAATGGCTGCAGTAGTTCCTCCCTTGAAAATGGTGCACGCCTCACTAAAAGGGGGCATGGTAGTCAATTTCGTTTTTATGGCTAATTTAAGGGACACATACGTTATGGATAATGAAGGCTATCAAGAGAAGACTCACACATTAATTGAGGAGAGATGAGGCTCCATTCCTGGATGTGGGTGGGGTTTATTGTACTGCATGTATTGCCTTTGATCATGTTGATTTCCTTCGAGAGCGAAGAGAGAGAGAGAGAGAGAGGATGAGGAGAGATGAGAGAAGACGGATGAGGAGAGAGAGAGAGGAGAGAGAGAGAGAGATTGCTCGGACGAGTGAGAGAGGAGAGAGAGAGAGAGGAGAGATTGAGAGAGAGAGAGGATTGGGCTGAGGACAGAGGAGAGAGAGAGAGAGGAGAGAGAGAGAGAGAAGAGAAAGAGAGAGAGAGAGATGAGAGCGAGAGAGCGAGAGAGAGAGACTGAGAGCGAGAGAGAGGAGAGAGAAATCAAAGAATCGAGAGAGAGAGAGAGAAAGAAGAAAAAGGAGAAGAAGAAAGAGAGAGGAGAGAGGAGAGAGAGAGAGAGAGAGAGACGGAGAGAGAGAGAGAGAGAGAGGAGAGAGAGAGAGAGAGATGAGAAATCAAAAGATCGAGAGAGAGGAGAGAAATAAAGGAAAGAAGAGAGAGGAGAGAGAGAGGGAGGGAGGAGCGAGAGAGAGAGAGGAGAGACCAGAGAAGAGAG